TTTCAAGCATTTTAGTCAACATCTTGGTCGATTAACTGTTTTTGCTATTAAAGTTGGATTGGCTACTTTATGTGCTGGAAAATTGGTTGACAAACTGAGGTGTATGTATTTTCTTCAAAAAAAAAATTTTTTTTCCAAATTAATTTTTAATTTTAAAATAATTTTTAAAAATTAATATAGACATATTTTCTCAAATTTCTGAGCAAAGCGGTGCTTATTTGGATCATTCAAAATTTGCTGAATATTTGCAGCATGTCTTAGCTTTGCCTACTGCTGTTTTTGAGGGGTGAAAAATAAATATTTGTTTTTAATTTTAAAAATAATTTTTAATTTTGTTATAGTCCAACTTTTGGTTATTCTCCCCTTGCTTTATCTCAATGTTTTCAAAAAAGTCAGCCTGAACCCGTTTCTTTAAATCAGGCAAATTTTTTTCTTTTTTTAAAAGTATTTCGTTTAATATAAAATTCGAGGAAATATTTTCCGGAAAATATTTTATTTCTTTCCGGAAATTATTCTATTATTTTCTTTCCGGGATATGGTCGTTTACTTTTTCCGGAAACTTTAATTGCAAAATGAAATTTCAGGAAATATCTTCCTGAGAACCATTAATTAAACTAATAACTTTTTCCGGAAAATATTCTGTATCTTTCCTTCCGGACAACTTAATATCCTTTTTCCCTTTCTGTTTATAAATATTTACCAACGTTTAATTTTATTTTTCCGGAAAGAGTCAAAAACTAATAAACTTTCCGGAAAGTTTTATTTTCTCTAACTTCTCTGTTATTTTTAAAGTTTTTGGATACAATACTTGGGGAGAGTTGTCCTCCCTGCCTTATGTGGTTACCTTTATTGCACAGAATGGCTGCTGTTGAAAATGTTTATCATCCTGTTGTTTGTGATTCTTGCCAGGTATTTTTAAAATAAATTTTTTTTTAATTTATTTTCAAAAAAGGTCCGTTCTTTCAATGGTTTTCGTTACAAATGTCAACGATGTATCAACTACCAACTCTGTCAGTCTTGTTTTTGGAGAGGGAGGGTCAGTCAGGAACATAGCAATGAGCATGAAATGAAAGAATATAACAGCTATGTTAGAAAAAATTAATTTTTAATTTCCCAAAAAATATTTTATTTTAAAGAAATCCCCAACAAAACAATTAGCCCATACAATCCAAAAATGTACTTTACAATGTATTCCAACTACAAATCAAAAAACTCATGTAGATTACCCCCCTAGACCTCAACGCGCTTTGGATTTGGCTAATGTAGTGCCGAGTACGCCTATTAGTGGATTCACGTAAATTTGAAAAATAAATTCTGTTATGGAATAAGTATTTTCTAGCCGTCGCCAAGCCCCTGAACCTATCGCTGAATGGACTTCAAAATTTTTGCCCGGTCAGTATGGCCGGGCAAGTGCAATGGATGACGAACATAAACTTATTGCCAGATATGCTGCCAAATTAGCTGGGAGGACTGTGGTGAGGAATTAATTTAAATAATCAAAAATTAATCTTCTCATTTTACAGTATGCCTCCTCTCGCCGTCCCCCTCCCCATCACCTTCCTCAATCCTCTTCAGGGGCTTATTTTAGTGGGGCATCAACTTCGGATGAGCAACAACATTTGGACGAACGTGCAATTATTGCCCGTTTAGAGGAAGAAAATCAACAAATGCTCCATGAAATGCATTCACTCGAACAACAACAAGTTAAAGAAATTTATTTTTTAGAAAAAATTATTTTTATTTTTTAGGCATTTTGTGACAGTTCTGGGCAATTAGAAAATCTTAGAGAACAAACAGCTGAATTGGAGGTAAAAATGCAGGAGAAACAAATACTTAGGAGGAAATTAATGAAGCAACTTGAACGTTTGATGGCTGGGCTTAATGTAATTTTCTCATAAATATTTTTAAAAAATATCTAAAATATATTTGACAACTAAAAATATCGAGATGTCAGAAACCAAAAAATATTTTTTAAAAATACTAAAAAACATTTTCCAGGCCCCCATTGTCCAGCCAAGTACAGCACCCAGCACCGCCCCACCAACAAGAGCACGTTCTACAACCACAGCTGCTTCTGGAGGGATATCTTTAGGTCAACTCGGATTGGGAGATTTTAGCCTAAGTCCGCAAAGAGTCGGAACAGTTGCTCAAATGCAGGATGACCTTTTACAAGCTGCGGATGAAATTACAGAAAATATGAGTGAATTAGTGAGGGAATTGGAAAGGGAAGAGGAAGAAGAGGGGGAAAAGGAAAGGGAAGAAGATAATGATGGGAGAAGAAAACATTGTGAGGATTTTTTGTTGAAAATTTTAAAATTAAATTTTTTTCTCAAAAGAAACCTACAGAATTTTAAAATTTCAAAAAATATTTTAAAATTTTCAGCAACAGATGAAGCAACAAAATCGGACGTTGAAACTTCCTCATCCCAACAACAAAAACCCAAAAACACCCAACAACATCGTTTTAGGAGTAATTCAACAAAGGAGCCTATGTTACAGCCACAATCACCTTATTTATCGAGAAAAACCTAAATTTATTTTCATTTCCCAGTTTTTTTTTGTTTTTTTGTGCCTTTTTGATAAAAGAAAAAAACTTTTTAATTCAAAGATAGTCGGACCTCGATTGTACACTGATTAATAAAGTCAGGAGATTTGGTGGATATCGGTGGTTTAGGGGATATCAGCTGATTTAGAGTATATATGGGATATCAGGCATTCGGATAATATAGTTCATGTTCATGAAAGATTAAGGAGGATATCGGTAGATCTGGTGTGATATCAGGATCCAAAGGATGTCAGATGATTTTTTGACTCGTCAGTTTAACCTTTAATTTTTCCATTTACAAAGGGTGGAAAACTTTGATCAAGTCCAATTTTCTTAATTAGATTAGCCTAAAATTTAACACTTTACCCTATTAAACAAAAAAACCAAGTCACCTATTACTCGGGGAATCAAGCAAGAGACAGTCTGCTATTCTTAACAAGCCTATAATATATCCCACTAAACCAAAATGTATATCAGAAGAGCATGTATTTCTCAATGCCACAAAAACTTAAAAAAAATTTTTTTCAAATTTAATTTTAAATGTTTATGTATTCTTTCCCTTTAAGAAAAAAATTTTTCTTTCTTTTTTCAAAAGAATTTCTCTATTTTTCCACCAAAAAAAATATTTTTTTCAACAAAAAACCTTTATTATTATTCTCAGTCACCCAATTTTTACTTTAGAAAAAAAAATATTTTTCAGAGCAGGCCCGCGAAAATCGATGAGAAAACACAGAGGCTCTCCTCTACATTTTCTTCTCAATCCGCCGATTTTCTATATTTTTATTAAAAATTTTTTTTCTCCCCCATTTTCTCCACTATGGAGGAGTAAATACTAAAAATATATTTTAGATGTGTGTGTGTGTTTGGCTAGGTCGTTGGGGCTGTTTTGTTGTTGTTGTTCACCTAAATGAGAGAAAAAGTATATTGCTAGAGTGCAATGAAGAAAAAAAATTTTTTATTTTAAAATGCCACTAAAGGCCTTTTAGGTTTTCTCTTTAATAGATAGAGAAAAAAAATTTAATTATAAAATGGTCAATTTAAAAATGGTTAAAAAAATTTCAAAATTTTATTTTCCCTTAAAAAATTGGCGAGACAAAATTTTGAAAGTATAAAAAAACTTTAATTCGCAATAAGGAAATTTTTTTGACATTTCGGCACTCGACATTTTGCCTGTTTTAAAACTACTAGCTGAAATTTTCTAGTAGAATTTCTTATATGTATTAGAAATCTGTGTATTCTTCTGTCATTTGTAACTGTTCATATATTGAGAAAAATCTGGATTTATCGGGGTTTGTCTCTTAATTCTTAGTAATTCTCAACTCGAATCCAAAATTTCGTAATTTATTTTTTTAAATTTCAATGTTCTACCCTTTTTTGACTTTTTCAATGTTTCATTGATTTTTAAGCATTCAGTCCCAAACCTCTCTTTTTAATTTCTTCCAAAAAAATTTTTTTCCTAACATCTACCAATTTTTGACATTCTGACCATTTTGTACTTTGGACATTTTTCTTTTGGGAAGTAAAAAAGAAGGAAAGATAGCCTTCCTCTCTCTTCTCTTATTTTTAGGTTAGAGAAGGAAGGGAGAGAAAAAGAGAGAAAAGAATTTTCACAATTTCCTCCCCCCTCGGTTTTCTCAAGGGTTGTGAAAGAAGGAAAAAAAATAAAATATTTTAGAGGCAACCAAACCGTCGTCAAAAAAATGTGAAATACACAAATCCTTCCATAAATTTTTGACTGACGATGGGGGGAGGGAGAGAAACACCGTGACCTACTACATATTTATAAAATTGCTTGATAAAATCGACAACAAAAATAAAATTTTTTTTTTCATTTTTAAACAATTTATATTTATTTTCTCTATTACTTTTTAAATAAATAAATAAATAAATAAATAAATAAATAAATAAATAAATAAATAAATAAATACATTTTTCTTAAATTTTTATCTTTTAATTTTTTTACTAAATTTTTTTTCTCTCATTTTATGTATGTATTTTTTGGGATAAGTTATTTAGTCGAGAAATTTTTGGGTTTGAACTTCTTTTTGACGAAATCCTGAAGAAATCGCCTAATGATTAGGGTTGCCGGCCCGGTCCGAAAGATCGTGTCGGGCATCGAATTTTGGCCCTAAAAAGACTCGGTCGGGCCGGCCCGATAAAAATGAGGCCCGAAAAAAATGACTCGAACGTCGACCCGACTCGAAAACGGTAACCCTACTAATGATCATACTACTCCGACTTTAATACTGATAAATGCCGAGAAATTTTCATCGATACATATTACGGTCAGAAAAAAGTTTATTGTTTCCATGCCGACTACGATACGGGATACCGATATATACCGATAGTCACTGAAATTGACATTCTAAAAAGTTTCAAAATTTTTTTAAAAATCCTAGCCTGTTAAATCCTCGTTTCGTTTTAAAAATAATTTTTAATTAAGCTCATAACAAGCTTTCCATTTTTTATTTTATATTGATTTTCCGCGATTTTTCTTCATAGGTGTCTGGTTAAATTTCAATGACGACTACTATAATTTTTTTCTTTTAAAATTCTCCACCAATTTAATAATTTCTTATTTTTTATTTTTTAATTACTTCCCACAAATATTTAAATTATCCATTTCCGGCTAAATGTCATAATGTCGAATTTTCGCAAATTTTCCATTTTTCAAAAATTATTATTTAAAACTCTTTTCTCATAATTTTTTAGACTTTTCTAGATAATATTTAAAATTAATTTAATGTTTGATTGCCAACTTTGTCAACAGGAAAGTAGAGTTGAAGCAACAATTAGTGGGGGTAATACAAATGGTAGTGATGCTAGTCCACAAAAACAGGTAGTAGATAAATATTAAATTGGTCACTTGCTTTGTATGATTAATTAGTCATTGCAAATGACCTTTTAGCAATTTGTTTTGCGAGTTTTTTTAATTTTTGATAGTTCTGCAAGTTCCATTTTGTATATTGCTTTTTGCAATTTGGGCATTTTGTACCCTTCTAATTTTCTAATACGTTTCAGAATCAATTTTCAAATCTTTCCGAACTTGAAGCCCACTTAGCATCAGAACATTTTAATTGTTTACCTTATGAATGTGAGCAATGTCATTTTGCCAAATTCCCAACAGAATTTGCTGTAATTAAACATAATGAAGAAGATCACGGAAATAAATGTTATTCGGTTTGGATTGTTTATTTTTAATATTTTTTAATTTTTTTAGTTTCGTTGTCGAATAACCCCAGCATTAAAACAAAAAAGAGCCCAAATTCGTTTATATATTTCAAAAATCAAAAATCAACAAAATATTTTTTCTCCGCCGCCTGTAAGATTTTTAAAAATAATTTTCAGAATTTTTATTTTTTAGGTCAAAAAAGTAAAGCAAGATGGTGATAGAAATAATTGTGACTCTAATCAAATTCAAATAAATGAAAAGACTAGAGGAACTCAACAACAAGAGGGGTAAAAAATTATTTTAACATTAAGAAATTTTTAAAATGATAAAAGCAAAGGGGGCTATTATTTCATTTCAAAATTCTCTTTTTCGGTTTTTTAGTTTAGTTAATATTTTCCGAAAAGGAAAATACTTTTCCGGGGAGTTGGGGGTTCGGTTCGGTCTTTTCCGAAAAATAGAGTCGGCAAAATCAACAGAGTCGGCATCGAATTTTGTCCCGAAAAAATGACTCGAACGTCGGCCTGACTCGAAACCTTCAACCCTATTTACGGAATTATTTTTAATTCTCTCCAGAATTTTTCTGATTTATTTTTAAACTTTTTGGAAACCTCCTAAATTATTTTATTGTCTCCTTTTTTCGGTTTTTTTAAAATCGTTCTTGTTATTTTTAGAATTTTTTCTGAAAATTTTCTTTATTTTTTAGTGAATTAGCTGAGGAAGTAATTGAAAGAAATAAACTCAAACCTCTGTCTAAAGATTTATTAAAGAAGAAATCTTTTGTTAATAATGGGCAGTCTGTTGGAAATGGAGGTATTAAATTTTGTTAAAAAATTTAAAAAAAACTTTGTAGATGCTGATTGTGTTGAAGATGATTTTGTTGTTTTAAATAAAGCATCTTCCTCTCTGACAGAACAGCTCCAAGTAAATTTTGAAAAATGAAATTTTTGAGAAAAATTTTTAGGCCGCTTGCGCTCAAAACATTCGACATCGCCGTGCTGCAAACGAAAAAGGAGAAAACGTTGAGGACTCTAAAACTTCCCCTAATTATGGAGGAACTGTCAGCATTCGAGAAGGAGGGGAATTGTCCACAAATTTGTTGGGAAAATCTTCGGGAAAATCAACAGGTGGAAATACAACAGATGAAGAAAATGAGGAATTGGAGGGAATGGAGGATTTTGAAGAAAGTGCAATGATGGAATATGGAGATGGACAAGGGGGAAAGGATGGGGATGAAGAAGATGAACAAATCCGGAAACAGGTTCTTTTAAAGTTTTTTATTTAAAATAAACATATTGATTTTAAACAAGCCCATAGCCAGTGGGGTCTCCCCCTCTACCTCTCCGAATTAGGGAAACATAAAAATTTTGGGGATGGGATTGAGTAAAAAGTCGATTTTTTCGCCTACGTCCTTCCAAAATTCTCAGAATTTTATAAGGTGTTTTTTCTTATCGTAAAATTTGTTTCCCTTTGTAAGGTTCATCTTGAGTTGTTTTACGGAACTTTTGGTTTATTCGATAAGAGGATGTACCCTATTTGTTACCAAAATTTGTTCTGTTTTATTTTAAATAAAATTTAGGAGGCCGATGTTCAAGAAATCCTAAAAGCAGCAGCAGCGGCCACCTCACAAATTGGTGGCGGAGATGTTGCCGCTCGTAATACTTCAACTGTAAATCTTTTAAAAATAATTTTTTAAATTTAATTATTTATTTAAAATAGCCTTATTCACTTCGCCCAAATCGTTGTACGCCATATGCTGCTCTTCTTGGTGGGAAACAAAAACAATCATCACCTCCACCTTCTCGCCAACAATCATCAAGACCAAATTGGCAACTTAAGCTTGGAAATTCGAATTTTGGCACTGGAGGTTCCTCCAATTCTAATGTGATTTTTATTTATTTTTCTTGTTAAAAATCTTTGGAAGCTTTCGGACTCCCATTTTAGCAATAGTTTAAGTAGAAAAATAAAAGTTTAATTTTGTTATTTTATGAACATATTGACCTCGGGACCAGGCCCGTATCCAGGATTTTTTCTGGGGAGCCAACGGGGGAAAATTTTCCTGCGCCGATTTTTTTTCAGCGCTGCAGGTGAAAATTTTTTTTAATTGGAAGTCAATAAAAATTTTGGTAATAGTTTGGAATTCGCCCCCCCCTTTTTCCTTTCTATTTTTTTTTAGTTTTTTCTCATTTTATGTCAAATTATATATCATTCGAAAGAGCTCTTCGAGCTGAGTCGAATGACATTAAAATCAACGAGATCTGACTTAAGTGAACAAAGTTGTGACCGTTTATTTTACCCACTTGCATCGGCACAAAAAGTTTACCCAAATAGGATTTAGCTTCATAATTTTGGTAAGAATTATCAGATCTAGCCAATCATGGTATCATTTGACCGAGCTCGTAGAGAGCTTTCGAATGATATATGATAAATTATGTATCAAACAAAAAAGCTCAAAATGGTCAGGGAAACGGTGAAAAAAAGGGGGGGGGGCGAATTCCAAACTATTACCAAAATTTTAATAGATTTTGAAAAATTTTTATTTTTAGAATCTTTCATTAATGATGAACAGACGTGAACGTAACGTCGAACGAATTCGTTGTCGCAAATGTGGTGAATTAGTAAATAGTACAGGAGGTTGTTTAATGCATCATTTAAATACGAGACATTTGCGTTTGCCGTTATTTCAATGCAAGGAATGTAAAAAGTTTGTTTTTACTTTTTTAATTTTTTGAAATCTTGTGAGGAAATTGCTGTATTATTTGTCGAATTAGTTAAAATATTTCTGGAACCTTAACTTTCTCCCAATTTACTCTCACAACAGTTTTGCAATATTTGATTCACAGACTCGGTGAGCCGAGGTTAATGAAAATAATTTTTTATTACACTTAATAACGGAACATTCTTCTAAGGTTTAATATTGAGAGGGCTACAATTTTAATTTTAACTTTTAAAACTAATTTTAATTTTTTCAGAGACTTTTATGAAGTCTCCAACACACGTATTCACAAACATATGAGGATTTATCACAGTGGTGATACAAGCAATTTAGTCAGTAATTACGCAAAGGTTTTTTAAAATATTTTTAGCTTTCTAGTTTTTCAATATTTTAGTATTCACATACTTTACATTCTGGACGTGATAATTGTTTTGGAACTAGAGATGAACGTTTAAGAGAAATTCAACGAGAACGAGGTTTTTCTCTTTAATTTTTTTAAACAATTTTTGGTTTGTAGGATTATGCTCAAGTCTAAATTTGGACAGAAATATTGACTGTAATTTTTTGAATTTTATGCCAAAAATTCTAAAATTTCTTCCTAAATTTAGTAACTTCATTCATTTCAACCGCTACCGGCAAAGCAACAACAACAAATAATGGAAATAACAACAATTCTCGCCTTCCCCCAAATTCTTCTTCTCCTTCTCAAAATATTGGATCGCTGTCTAAAGATAGTTTTTTACGGTCACCAATTTCTTTTAAACAATATGGCTATGGAAATAATTCTAATAAGCAATCAACTTCTAGACACAACGGTTTGTTTTTAATTCACAATTCTTAATATTAATTTTAAAATTGATATTCTTTTCATTTATTTTCCCAAAGAGTCCGAAATTCATTTTAATTTTTTTATTCTCTCACAAGAATTAGGATTTTTGGAAGTTGTATATAGGGTTGGGAGTCCGTCCGAAAGATCGTGTCGAGTATCGAATTTTGGCCCGAAAAAGACTCGGTCGATCGAAAGTCAGCCCGATTCGAAAACCCCAACTCTAGTTGTATATGAATGCAGGCTATTTTTTAAATAAAAAAATGACTTGCCAATGAAAATATTGACAAAACATAACTTGGAGGAAAATAAATTTTTTAATACCTATTTATTTTTAGACTTGCTCCAACCAGATGTATTATCTCCACACCTTTCCGGGCCTTTTAATCAGTCTGTTGAAGATTTATTTAATGGAAATATAAAAAAAGAAATTTGTAGTGGAGATGAAATGTTATTGAATGAATTAAATAAAAAGAAAAGACAAAATTTGACAGAAGAAAATTTGGAGGAGTATGAGGGGGAAGAAGAAGATGATGAATATAATGAACAAGAAGAAGTAAATAATATTATTGGAAATTTATTTAATGAAGAATTAATTGGGGGAATATTGAAACAACAACAGAAAAAACAAAATTTTGAAACAAAATTAAATGAAAAATATAATAATAATAATGAAGAAACAACATCAAACGATAAAAATACAAACAGAAACGGAAATAATAGCAACAACAAAAATGCGGCTATGAAGCAATTAACTTCTTTACAAACACAATATCAATTAATGCAAATGGTAATTAATTTAATTGAAAGGGAAAAATACAAATAAATATATATCAGAAACACAAATCAGCTTTTAACGGTTTCCGGAACTTTTAACCATGTGTTTTCCGGAAATTTCTACTCTCATCTTCCTCGGAAATTATTTCTTCGATAATTTACCTAATTTCTTCTAAAAAAATTTTTTTTTAATTTTATTTTTCTAATTTATTTCATAAAAAAAGGAATTTGGAACTGAAGAAAAAATTGAAGAAAAGGTTCCTTGCAAAGTTTGTGGTGAAATGACTGTAAACAAACAACTCAACCGTCTTAATCACATAAATACTCGGTAAGGGTGAGATATTTGTTTTTAATTAATTTTCCGGAAAGTTTAGTTGTTTTCCGGAAATTATTTAATTTATTATTTTTCCTAAAATTTCTCTCCACATTTTTGTATTTTTCCGAAATGTTTTCGTTTTAATGTATTTTTTGACTGAATTATTTTTATTTTTCTTTAATTTCCCTTAATTATAGTCATTTACACTTACCACTTCACCAATGCCGTCTCTGTCAAAAAGTTTTTGCTTCATATAGTCGTTCAGCTTGTTATTCACACATTCAAGTATTTAAATATTTTTTAAATAAAAATTGTTTTTGTATTTTTTTAAGTTTGCTCATAAAGCTGACCTAGATGCTGGACTTTACAGTCAAAATATTGAGGAACATATTATTTATATGAAGGTGCTTGTTTTTTTAATTAAAAAAATATTTTTTATTTAAAGGAGCAATATCGTAGTCAATTGGAGGAATCAGCAAATGACTATTTTGATTAATATAATTTTAAAAAATAATAATTTTTTTGTGTTTTGGGGGGGGGGATATCTTTTAATAAAATAAAAGGGAAAAATAAAGGCTTTGTCAAAAATTGAAAAAAAAATCCTTGAAAAATTTTCCAAGAAATTTTTTGAAACTTTTTTAGTCAACGCCTTAATTTTTAAAATCTCAACCCCTACCTGAAATTTTTAATTTTTTTGTTTTGTTATTTTGTAAAATTGCTTGAATAAAAATTGAAATAGAAAATTTTATTTAAGTTTAATTAAATTTATTTTCAAGAAAATTGAAAAAATTGTTTAAAAATATTCTTAAAACGAATATCAGTAGTAATTTTTTCTGTGTCTACTTTGTAATTATTGAGTTGTTTTTGAAAAAAGAAAATGGATGAAACAATTTCCTCAGCCTTTCCGGCCCTAGCCAATATCCACGAACGAGTAATAACCAATAAAGTGAGGGCATTAAATAACGTTTCATCAGATAGGAAATCCTTTTTAAAAAAATTTTGAAATTTTTTTCCTATAATTTTTGAATTTCCAGTTATTTTGTATCCTCAAAACCCGCAACTTTTTATATGCAAGTCATTTTTAAGACAATTATGCTGTCTATTATTACTTAGAATTTGAAATTACTGCTATGTGCCAATCACCGAATTTTAACGAAAACTTGAGAAAATAATAAAAAATAACTTGTGGATCAAAAGTTGGGAAAATAATTTTGAGAGAAATTTTTTTAAAAATTGGTCTCCCTTCAGCTCAATCAGAATTGTCAGTTTGGAACCAAACAGAAAAGCGAAGGAAGACTAATTACTATTTACTTACCTTCTTGGTTTGCTCTGGTCAAAAGGAAAAGTTTCAAGAGGGCCATTAGGTGTAAACTCTGCCAAAATAACATTTTTTCTGTCTACTAGCAAAGGACAGGAAGAATATCCATCATAAAATTTTGTTAAATTATTTCCTTCCATAGCTGAGAGTAAATTTGGGAAAAGTGTTTTTAATTGGCTTGCTTTAATTTTGAAAGAAAATTTTTAATTTTTAAAAATTTTCCCTTACATACGGCAGCCGCTGTCTTTGCATTTGGAGTATTTGCACAGTCCCCAATTGCAAAGATATTTTTATATGTGGGCGATTGTAGGGTTTTTGGATCAACTTATAAAAATTTCTTTATTTTAATTTTTCTTCTTTCTCACTCATACCTTTAACAAATCCTTGTGCATCTGTCAAATTATTTTCTTTTTGTTGGGCATGGTTCCGTAATTCACTAACGGGTGAACAAGGAGCTCCAATATGTAAGAGATTATACTGGAAAGAAATTTTTTTATTTTTTTTTCAATTTTACCTTAAATTCTACATTCTTCCCTTTAATAATTTGTCCATTCTCGTCTAGTGCTTGAAATGTAGCAACCCTTTTATCTACTTCTACTTTAGCCAAATTTAAACGTGTAAACAACTCTATCCCTCTATCTTTTATAACTGACATTAGAGCATTTGAATATCTAATTAAATTATGGTTTAATTACTTAGGTTGTGTCATAAATAATTAGCCCCCCTTAAATCATTAAAGTTTTAAAATGTATATCTCAATGTTCAGATCTCCAATCTGTTTAATTTTTTTGTCAAATATTCACAATAATGCCTTCTTCATTTTCTGAAAGATTTGAAATTTTTTCTTTACTTAAAAATTTTTTATGAATTTTTAAAGTTTAAGGCAAGATTATGAAATTAGCGTCCAGTTCAAATATGAGATTGAACTTGGACATTCGGAAAAGAAATCATGGCGCAAAATATGCATAGCGAAGTATGAGGATGTTATCTCGTATTCCACAGAAAAAAGTTGGCTCTCCAAATAAAAGAAAGGTAGAGAGGAGCTATCAGAATCTATTTAATCTATCAGAATCTATTTAAAATTTCATTCTACTCACAAATTTAACAGAGTAAAGTCCAAAAGAAGTTGCCTTGTTACAAAAATACAAGTTTTAGTATTTTACCTCTAACTCCGGCCAACCTAATCCTAGGATTCTGATTTTTAACCATAACATAGGCAACTCTTTTAGGATCATAAAAAAATATTATTCGAAGTCTGAAAATATTTAGTTGAATTTTAATAAATATTTATTTAATTTTGTTCAGGGGGGCTAATTATTTATGACACAACCTAAGTAATATAATGTATTTTCCGGAAATTATATTCCTTCCGGAATTGTATTTCTATATTATTCTTTCCGGAAAATATATTCTCTTGTTTCTGAATATTGTATTTTCTTCTAATTATTTCCGGAAAAGCTTATTTTGTTTGTATTTTCCCTTATATTTACTTTTCCGGAACGTACTATTCTTTTCTTTAGTATATTTCCGGAAAAGTTTATGTCTTGTATTTTTCTATTTTCACATATTTTCCGGAATTCCTTTTCAAATCCGCTTACTTTGGAACACCAAAAACTGCTTCCAAAGAAGTGCAGTAAATCACTTTGCTACCTTCCCGAACTCCCTTTTCTCTAAATATCTTTAAAAAATATTTTTTTAATTTATTCCTTAATGATTACTCACATCCTCTGCCAAATAACAAATTTTTTGTGGTGCCCCTCCACACTTTATTGGGGTATTTGGAAAACTGAATATTGCATTTTGTCCTTTTGAAAATGTTTTTATTTCTGCCAGTGTTTTTATCGCTCCATCGGGAAAATAAATTGAACAAACGCCTGGTGCTTCCAACACTGATTTTTGTCCGTGAGGTAATCCTTCGATCTTTTATTTAAAAATTAAATTTTTTATTTATTTTCTGGGACTTTTAATTTATTTTTCCTGATTTTTCCGGAACTCTATATTTTCTCTGTATTCTATTAATTTTCCGGAATTTTTCCTATTCATTGTTTTCTCTGCTTTAATTTCCGGAATTTATATTTCTCTTTTTCTCTAGCCACTTACCAAGTCATATCTCAACTCTAATCCAGTCGCAATCACCATATAATCATAAGTTAACTGCATATCTCCTTCATTTAATGTTAAACGATTCTCTGCTGGAGAGAACGATTTAACTGCATTTTTAACCCAATCCACTCCCTCCGGGATTAATTTATATTCATTTCTTATTAATTGAGAAGGTTTCATTAGTCCAGCAGCGAGTAAAGTTAATCCGGGTTGATAGAAATGCCTCTAAAAATTTTTAGAAATTAAAAAATAATCTTTTTGTTAACCGTATTAGGCTCTATAATTGCAATTTGTTGTTGTTTTTGTTTTGGAGGTAATAAACGAGAAATTTTTGATGCTATCGCGCACCCACCTGTACCGCCTCCTACCACTATAAGACGATAATGTTGCTCTTTAAAAATTAAATTTTTTTAATTTTTTATTTGGATACATTTTAAATTTTACCTTTAGCTAAAATAGTGCTAAATTTCATTTTATTTTTAATGATTGGGGAAAGAGTAAATATAGAGCAGAATTAGTAAATAAAAATGCGGAGGGGAGAAAAAAAATAGAAAATTGATTTCTTTTATTTATTTAGAGGGGTCAAAGATTTAAGTTCAAAAATTATTTTTGAAGAATTTTTTTTATTTTTTAAAAGTTTTTGATTTTTTAAAAATAGTGTTCTATTTTTACGGATTTTCTTTTTTTTTCTGAAAGGCCCTTTTGAAGGTGATTGAGAAATAGAATGTCCGAACATTGTAAATATTAGAAGAACCTGATTCTGTATTTTTTCCTTATTATTATATTTTCATACATATAACACAAAATTCTGTACATATAATGGATGCAGAAGATAATACTAATTATTTCGATTCTTCTTTTTCATTTTTACCGGAACATGAACAACTACTTGAAATTTCTTCTTTTTCTACCCCTACAAAGTCTTCCCTTGCAGATTATGCAAAATTGTGAGTTTTTATTTTTTGTCAGAATTATTATTTTTGACAAAGCGCGTGATCTATTTTAGGGGAGGGATTAAGTTGTGACTTTTAGTTTATTCTGGGGTTTTTACAGGCAAATAAATTTTATATTTTTTGGAGAAATAGAATTTAGATTTTTTATTTCTTATTTAAGTGAATTAAATTAATATAAAAATTTTCCTGATGGAAAATACCAGAAAAAGAACAAATACATCCAGACACCGGAAACAACCGGAAAGAAAATACAAATAAAATATTCTGATTTTTCCGGAAAGTTTATTTCATTTCTTTCTCCAAATTTTCCTTTGTGTTTGTTAAATAAAAAATAAACTTTGGCGAAAAACGTCAACGGTTTTTTGATTGATTGTTTAAGTATTTACATCTTTTTTTAAAATATTTTTTAAATTTTTATTTAGTCATATGGGCTAGACTGTTTTAATTTTTAAAAATAAATTTAAATAAATAAATATTATTTTACATAAATAATTATATTTATTAAATCAGACTTAAATTTTTTTATTATATTCAAAGCTTTTTATTGGATATTTTATTAAATTTCCTTTAATTTTTTATTTGGGGTTTTCCTCGGAATTTAAATTTTTTATTATTTTTTCCGGAGAGTTTATTTTTTATTATTTTCTTTCCGGAATTTTTTCCTCTTTTTGTCTTCTAATTTTGTGTTTCTTTAGCGTTTCCGGAAAGTTTATTTTCTTTATTTTTGTGTTTTATATTGCCGAGAGTGTCTACAACAATAACCATTAAGCATTTTTAATCTTTCGATAAAATAAATAAATAATAATAAAATAAATAAAATATTTACACAATAAACGTTAAATTTTTTTTACATTTATTTTAAAAATTATAGGAAATTTTTTTAAAATAATTCTTATCATTCATAATATAATTTTGCTATTTAATGACGGGGGGAAAAAGTCATGTAAATACATATATTAAATAAATTATATTATTATTACATGTTATCACCCACGTTAAATGTGTGCTTTAATTTAAGGAAAATTTTTTTTGAATTAAAATTGATCAGAATTCTTTAATTTTATTTACATTCCCCTTTAAATTTTGTCTTAATTTTTTTCAAAACAAAATCTTTCAAAAATAATTTATTAATGATCAAAAAATAAACTTCCTTTATTTGTACCTGAAAACAAATAAATTCTTTTTTCTTTTTTTTTGTCAAAATAAATTAATTTTTAATTACTAAAATGTCTATTAAAATCCATCCAAAAATTGTTGTAGACACTGGCAATGGGAGGAATGAAAAAAATACAAAAATACAAAAGTATTTTTTAAAAAAAATATTTTTTTTAATTTAATTTCAAATTTAAATATTTTTAAAGCGACAGAAGCAACGAAAATAGTAATAATTGTAGTAATAACGCTTCAAATTCTGCTTCGTTATATTTTTCTACACAACATAGACATTATAGGGTAAAACAAGGAATTAATTAATTAATAATTAAATTCTTTAAAAAATACCGAATATCTTTTAATAACTACCCTGGGTAATTATTGTTTCGACCTTCCGCTGAAGAGAGTAGTTAATCAATGGAGGGTAATTATACGAGGTTTAAAATTTGAACGTGTTTTAGGACATTTGTTCGGGGGTAATTATTGTTTCAATCCATCGCTGGATGGTGTAATTAATGGAAGTGGGGTAATTATTTGAGGGAGGGCAATTAATACAGTTTTTACGGTATATAGACTTGAAGTATATATTAAATCTAAACAAGAAAAATTAAATTTATTTAACTCCCTTCAAGTTAGTCGACTTAAAAATTTTCAAAAAAATTAATTAAAAATATTTGTTCTTCACAGAAATCAATGGCACAAGACGCCGAAGACGGTCCAGATTTTCTCGATGTAGAACAACATGGATGGGATTTAAATTCACCCTTTTACAACAACAATACAAGTCGACCTCCAATGAATCAAGTGGAAAAGAATTTTAATTAGAAAAAAATAATTTTTAATTTTCAAGGAGGAATTCGATAAACGTTTCTGTTACCGAACTCCTCGAAGCTCAAATATTTTAAAAGAGAGAGCTTCAGCTTTGTTGCGATATTATTATAGACCTTGTTTGTCTACTAGAAGCTTAACAAATTTCTTTTTAAAGTTGGAAAAAAAATAATTTTTTTTAATTTCCCCCTTTTTCCCTTTTAGTTTCTTCCCAATTTTACAATGGTTACCGAATTATGAATGGAAAAATTGGTTTGCTTCAGATATTATTGGAGGGATTGTGACGGGTGTTATGCACGTACCTCAGGGTTATTGAAAAAAAAATATTTAAATAATTTAAATAAAGGAATAGCCTATGCCCAATTAGCTGGAGTTGATGCCGTTGTTGGTTTATACACTTCATTCTTCCCTCCTCTAATCTACATGTTTTTTGGTACTTCTAGGCACAATTCTATTGGTAAAAAATAAATACCATAAATACTCTAAGAAAAGCACATGTGCTTCAATTATTGCATTTACTGTAAACTTGAAGCAGATATTTAAATAAACTTGAAGCAAGTTTCTTAGTCAACATAATTCCGCCTGATTCAACTTTTTAATAATGCATTAAATCATTGCAACTTTTTTTCAGGCTCCTTTGCTGTTGTAGCCCTAATGAGTAATGTTGCAATGAATAGATTATTTGACGCTAGGAGAGAATTGTCTAATAATTTTAATAATTCTTCAGATTTAAATGTTTTTAGAGCTTTATTTAATTATTCTTTAATTAATTTTTTTACAGACTTCCCCTCTTTCCCCCATAATTGTTTCTTCAACGCTAGCTTGCTGCATTGGTCTAGTTACTTTAGCAATGGGTATTTTAAGGCTTGATATGATTAGCACTTATTTTTCTGACCAAGTAAAATTAAATTAGAAATTATTTAAAAATAAAATTTAAATATTTTTAGGTAGTTGCTGGTTTCACTACGGGGGCTTCTGTTCACGTTTTTGCTGCTCAACTAAAATTTATTTTTGGACTTTCTGGGTTACCAGCGAGATCTGGGGCTGGGAACTTAATTATGGTGAATTATTTGGGTGCCTAATAAAATATTTTCTTTTGTTTTAGAAATTTTATGATATTTGCAAAAGAATTCCTCAAATACACATTCCAACCTTTACAGTTTCTGTCATTTCTATAAGCAAGTTTATAATTTATTTTTTAAAACTTAATTATTGAAGCAGGCGGAATTACTTATAAAAAGGAAATTTCCGCCTGCTTCAAGTTTTATAAATAAATTTATTTTTTTTAGTTTTGTTATGTATTGGAAAGGAGGTGAAAATTATAATAAAAATTAAAAAAATATATTTTTTAAAGTTTTTAAATCCTTTGCTAAAGAAACATTTCAAATTAACTGTACCCATCCCCTTTGAATTATTTTTAATGGTTCTCGGCACTTTTTTGTCATTTTTATTTCACGGACATTCCAAATTTGGACTGGAAATTGTTGATCATATCCCTGCAGGGTAAAAGAAAAAGTATTTTAAAAAATAAAAAAAATAATTTAAAGAATTCCAACACCGATAATGCCTGATTTAACGTTGTTGCCTGAATTGCTTCCGGATGCGATTGCTATTGCTGCTGTGGTGTGTTTTGTGTTTTTAAAGTTTTTAGAAAGAATACATACCAGGGCTGGGCGATTTCGCATTTTCGCGTTTCGCATCTTTCGCATTTTTCACATTTTTCAGCGCGAAAAGTTTCGCATTCCGCATTTCGCTTTTTTATTTTTAGATCTCGCCCAGCTCTGATACATTCCGTAAAAACTGTATTAACTACTCTGGGTAATTATTGTTTGGATATTTCGATTGTGGGGGTAATTAATAGAGGTTATTTTATAAAGGCTAATTATTACTATTTTTAAGGGAGTAATTATTTTTTCAACCTTTTGCTGGAGGGGGTAACTAATACAGGCAGGGTAATTATCTGAGGGAGGGACATTAATACAGTTTTTACGGTACATACATTCCGGAAAATAAATTCCGGAAATTTTTTGTATTTTATTTTTTTGTCTTTATTTATTTTTAAGGTTATGGCTGTTCATATTTCCTTGGCAAAAATCATTGCAAAAAAGAAGTGTTATCGTGTTGATCCAGGACAAGTAAAATAAAAACTTTATCAATTTCCCAATTTAATTTTTCAGGAGCTTTTCGCCCTCGGATTTTCCTCAACCCTTTCTTCCTTCTTCCCAGTCTATCCCGTCTCTTGTTCACTCGGTAGAACTTTGGTTAATGTCGAAGCTAACACAAAAACTCAGCTTTCCACGATTTTTTCTTGTACTTTTTTGGCTGCCGTGATTCTTTACTTTGGCCAATGGCTTCGAACATTACCTATGGCATGTCTACATTTCTTACTTCAAATTTTTCAATTTTAGTGTATTCTTTCTTCAATTATTATCGTTGCACTTAAAGGCATTTTTCGCAAGATTGCCGACTTGCGAAGACTTTGGCCTCTTTCACGGATTGACTTTTCAATTTGGCTAGTTAGTTTTGTTTCGACTGTTTGTTGGGATGTTAGTCAAGGATTGGTTATTTCTATTGGTGAAATTAATTAATTGAAATTTAATTTTTTATTTAATTTTTAGGGTTTGCTTTACTCACTACAGGTGGAGAATTAAATTTAAATGTAGAAATTCCGGAAACTTTTGAGGAAATACAAAATTCCGACAATAATAATTCGGAAAATATATTCTCTTAAATACTTCCGGAAGATGTATTTTATCAAGCAAATTCCGGAACTAAATTAAAATATTAACGGGATCACCCCAGAGTATCGACACCCAGAGTATCGAATGACCCAAAGTATCGAATTTTTTAAATTTCATAATTAAGTATTCCAATGATCGGGCATGATGTTCTAACATCGTGGAATTGTGTTTTCGATCGAACTGAGCATAGCGACCGAACAAGATTCTACTTGGAGATCGATCACTCTTCTTTGATTGGACATATTGATCATGATCGATGTTTGATCCATTGTTGGAACAATTTCCCTATGTTAAAAAGACTTCCCCGTCCTTGGAATACTTAATTATGAAGTTTAAAAAATTCGATACTTTGGGTCATCGATACTTTGGGTGTCGATACTCTGGTGTGGACTCATATTAACAAAAATTCCGGAAACAGTGTTTTAATAAAATATTTAATTTTCAGTTTTCCGTACCCAATGGCCTCGTTGGCATTTTTTGGCAAATCTGTCCGGTACAAACGATTTTCGAGATGCAGAACGTTACGAGCTTATTCACACTTTTCCTGTAAATTTAAAAATTAATTTAAATTAAATGAACATTTTTTAAAGGGAATTTGTATTTTTCGATTTGATTCGCCTCTACTTTTTACAAATGTTGACAATTTTAAAGTAAATTTTGGAAAAGTTTTTTTAATTTGAATATTTTTAGGAAACAATTCACAAAGCTTTTCAACGTTGGAAACGTTATCAAGGAGCTCAACTTGGATTGCATGTTGTGGGGAGTACTTTAAGGTTAAGACAAACAACTTCAACTCCTTCACTCCAAATATTTACAAAATTGGTAATTATCTTAAATTAAATTAAAATTAATTTTTTTAGGGTTCAAATGGAATTGTTGTTCCAGCTAATTTGTCACCCCAATCAAACTTGCAGCGGAAACGGGAGGACGATGATGAAAATAACCGTAAAATCTATAGTTACTGTAGTTTCCGGAAAAGTTATATTTCTTTTTCCGGAATTTATGTATTATTTTCGGAATGTTGTTTCCGGAAATTGTTATTTCTTTATTCTTTCCGGAATTTTTAAGAAATACATACTTTCTAGTTTATTTACTCCCTTTGCTTTTATATTTGCTTCCGGAATATCATTTCCGGAATTATTTGTTTGCTTCTAGTTTTAAAGTTTCTACATATTTATAGACAATACTTACATTCCGTAATTTGTGTTTTCGGAATGTTTATTTCCGGATTTTCTATACTTTTCATATTAAGAGAATGAACGTCAACCGGAAGATGAAAATATTGAAGCAAAAACAGAAGCATATTCTCAAAGTTTTGAAAATCAAAAAACTTTGGAAAAAATTGGTAAATAATTTTAAAAACATTTTTACCAAATTTATTTCTTTAAAGGTTCCTTTGACAGTCCCCAACATTTACATTTTATTGTAGATTGTTCTGGTTTTACATTTGTTGATTGTATGGGGGTTAATGCTTTGAAGGAGGTTTTGAGGAGGGAGGGAAATTAAAAAAATTTTTTTTAATTTATCAGATTTTTACTGAAATGCGTCAACAACGTGTTAGAGTATATTTTGCAGCAGCTAAAGGTTTAAAAATTTTGAAGCAAAATACAGAAAAAATACAGAAAAATTAATTTTAAATATTTTTTCTTTTCAGCCCCAGTGCGCGATTTATTCGAAAAATGTGGATTTTATGAATATGTCCCAAAACGCAATTTTTACCCAACAATAAGGGATGCTGTTGCTATTGCAAGAATGAGAAGGAACGCGTAAATATATATTTTTTCTTTAATTTTCTTAAATATATGTATTTATGTAGTTCTTCACAAAATTTATTAGAGGAATCTATTATTCATCGAGTATATGATGAAATTGAAACAATGCAGATAACACAACCAGAACAATAAATTGATTGATTTTTAATTGAAAAATTGTTGTTGTGAATATTTTCCCTTTATTTATTTTGATGCTCATTAACTAAATTTGTGTGTAGCTCTTTTTAATTAATTAATTAATTTAACCTGCTTTCCTTTCCTCTCCCTGTGAATAATTTTTATTTTATTTTTCAGAAATTTCTCTTTTCCCAATAAAGTGTTTATTTTAATTTGTTTAAAAGGCAAAATTATTTTTTAAACTTTTTTTTTGTTTTATATTTTTTCAAACATTAATAAAAACAACATTTACATTTACTATATCACTTTTTAAAATCAAAACAAAATTGTAAAGACAGGTGGGTGTTTGTATTTTTCATGACCGGCTATTCATTAAATTTTCAAATGCGCGCGATATTTTATCCATGTCTCTTTTTAGTGTTTAAAAGAGAATAAAAATGCTGGAGTTTATGATTAAAAATTTGGGCAGTTTTCATATAAAGTCCTTTCCAAAGAACTTAGACACCTCCAAATTTTTCGGATAAGTTTTGGAAGTGTTCTAGGGTTTTTTAGAACGGATTTTATATCCTTCCCCAACATTTCTCTCTCCCCCCCCCCCTCCCTTTAATATCAATCTATAAATATCTACCTACCCCCATCATTTACATAAATTCTTTTTTTTCTTGAATAAATTGTAGAAGGAATTTGGCGTTCATTTTATTTTTGTTGTTATTTTGTGTGTTCAAAATCAAGGTCATATGCTAGAGTATATGTAGATAGAATGTTTGGGACGTTTTCTCTTTCCTTGTTTTTAATGTTGTGTTCATTCCAATCATTTTTTTATTTCCACAGTTGAGAAAAGTGTATATTTGGATTTGTAATATACAAAAATTAATGAATCATTTTTTTCTTGTCTTTATTTTTAGATTAAGAAAAGATTGAGAATTTGCTAGAAAATTTTTTGGGGGTTGATTTTTGGAGGTGATTAATAGAAAAATTATTTGAGAATTTTGGGTGTTGTCCGCAAAATTCAGTCCGCAAAAAAAGCATTTTCACCCAGACCTGGCCATGGATACGGATAACATCAGGATATCCGTGGATATATCTGGATACGGATAGCAAAATCCGTGTCCCTGGCCAGGTCTGTTTTCACCCTTCAGATTATTTTCAATTTTGAATTTCTAGTAAATTTAATTTTGTCCTATCAAATATTTTTTTATTTTTAGAATTTATGCATTTATTTTAGTGATTTTTAACTGTCTTTCTCTCTACTCATTTTTTGAAAAATAAATTATTCCAATTCTGTTTATTTTTGAATATTTTCTACTAATTTTTAGTGGTAAAAATTTATTTAAATGACTCATAAAATATTCGCGTGCCTTTTTTTATTGTTTAGCTGTAAAATCGTTTTTCACAGTTGTCCATCCATATTTTTAAAGACGATTAATCACTCTAAAATGTTAAAAATATTTTTTTTATAATTGTTCCCAATATCTTCGATTGTTTTTTTTATTTATGTAACTAGAAAATAAAATAAGCCTTCCAGGTGGCATTTTGGTGTAGTGGTCTAGCGTTTCGTCTCTCTCATGTAGAGGGGGAAGGTTCGAATCCAAGTGGTGAGAAAAGCATTGGAAAAGCATTTCTCTTTTGTTTTTTTCTTTTAGAAAGACAAATAGTTTTCTAAAATAATTTTAAAAAATAAACTGTGAGACAAGATTTACCTGAAACTCTAAATGAGAGATAACTAATTTTTTTACCTTTTTTCATAAAATTATCCTTCTATAAAAGCACTTGTCTTGTCTGTAATTATAAAAATACAAAAATCCCAAGCCAATCTTCCCTTCCTTGTATGAAAGAAAAATGAAAATCGATCGTTAGTCTCTCTCTCTGTTTTAACCTTTAGTCATCTACTAGCAACTCTAAATAAAAAAAAATATTTTCTTCTTTTTTTTTTCTTCAACTTTTTTGTAATTCACAACATTTTTTGCTTTATGAGAAATCTTCAGAAAAAAAAAGTTTTTTTTGAATTTTGTAAAAAAATTTTGTTTTGGGGTGATTCACTTCATTTTTGTGTCATTTTAAGACGAAAAACTTTTTTTTGGACTCCACCTTTTTTTGAACAATTGAAAGGGGTTTTAAAAAACGTTTAAAAACGTAACAAATATTTTTTTAACCCTTTTTTTTATTTTTTGAAAGGTTTTTTTTGTTAATTTGCCCTTTTCTTTTTGTTTGCTCATCCTTTTTCTCGAGAATATTGTTCGTGTTTACTTTGGTCGAGTGGGGAAGGTCCTGGTTGGCTCAGCAGAAGGGGATGCAGGTTCGAATCCCTCTCCGAGATATTTTTTTTCTTTTTGTGTTTTTTATTCAAAAATAATGTTTAAAGTTTAAAAAAATTTTTAAAACATTTATTTTTATTTTATTTTTTTCAATCTTTCTTTAAAATAGTTTTTATTTTGTAAATTTTACTAAAAAAATTTCAATTTTTTAAGGAATTCATTCACTTAAAGGTGACGTTTTTTAGTGTTTAATCAATTAATTTCTACATTTATTTAAATATTTCACCCTAAATTGATTAGAAAATATTTTTTATCAGTTCACATTTTTATTAATTTTAATTCCTTTATTTCCCTCCATTTTTCTTTATTCCCCCCCATTTATTATTCATTTTTTTAAAAACATTTGTTGACTTTACAATAAAAATTCTTTTTTTTCTTTTAAATCATTTTTAACAATCTATTTAACTTTTTATTTCCTTTTTTTATTTTTACAATTTTACACTTTAAACGGACAAATAGATTACTTTAATGATTATTTTTTTGGTTTATTTTCTTAAATTTTCTAAAATTATTTTTGGACATTTTGTCACGGCTGTTAAATGTCCACAAGCCAATTTTCAGGGACACGCCCAATTAGGCGCGCGGCCATAACGGCGCAAAGCCATAATTTGCTGGAAAATTTCTGGCCCTTGTCATTTTTGGTACCAATTTCTTTATTTCGATGAGAGGAATCGTTTAATACTAAATTTGGCAAGATTCGGAAATCTTGAAGCAAGTTATGGCTTTGCGCCGTTATGGCCGCGCGCCTACTTGGGCTGTACCTCTAAAATTTTCTAAAATTATTTTGGACATTTTGTCACCTCTGTTAAATGTCCACAAGCAAATTTTTCAGTTAATTTTTTTTCTTTCAGTTCTTTTTAAAAAATTTAAATTATTTATTTATTCGACCTAAAACAACAAAAAGAAAATGTTAAATGGGGGAATTGGTAACAACAACAACAAAAATGAAGATGGGGGAGGAGGACCTCTTGCTGCTCGTATGCGCATTACTGACCCAATGTTGCAAGCCGAATGGGCCAAAAAACGTCTCATTTGGGTTCCACATGAAACTGAAGGTTTTGTAAAAGCATCGATAATTAGTGAGGATGCTGATACTTATACTGTTGAATTTGTGGAAAATGGACATCAATTACGTTTAAGTAAAGATGATTGTCAAAAAATGAATCCTCCAAAGTTTGACAAGGTTTTAGTTTTTTAATTTTTAAGGATTGGTTAGGAGAGGATTGTTGGTTCGGGGGAAAGGTTGGGATTGGGACTTTACCCAAAGATTGGTGATTTCTCTGTTGAATTTTTGTTATTTTTAAAAAGGATAGGGGCAAACCAGGTTTTGGGCAAGAGAGGGCCCTTAGTTGGATACTTTTTTTAGTTGGTTTGTACCTTGAATGAACTGGGTGGAGAAAGTTAAGTTGTGGTTTACGGATCGTGTCTTAAATACGCATATATAGGCTTTTATAGACTGTCGGTTGTCTTGGCTTCTTATAACTCCTTGGGGTCTTCATTTCTTTTTTTTAGCCCCACAATATAAAAGAAATTTTTCAGGTTGAGGATATGGCTGATCTCACGTGCCTTAACGAGCCTTCAGTTTTTGACAATTTAAAGCAGCGTTATTATTCTGAATTAATTTATGTATGTTTTTTTTGGATTTTTAAAAAGATTTTTTTGTAAATATTTTAGACATATTCTGGTTTGTTCTGTGTTGTTATGAATCCATATAAAAAATTGCCAATTTATTCTGAGGCTGTAATTGAGTCTTATAAAGGAAAGAAACGTAATGAACGTCCACCTCATGTTTTTGCTATTGCTGACTGTGCTTATAGATCGATGCTTCAAGGTTTGAAAAATTATGATTTTTTATGAATGAGTTAAAGCATAGTTTTTTGAGGGTAAATTTATATGACCATTGGGGATATACAATTTTTTTGCCTTCTCCTTTTAAAATTATTTTTTTCTGTAAGACACTTTTTTGTGACCAAAGCATAACATTTAAACCTTACATTCTTTTCGAATAAATTTTTTAAAGATCATGAAGACCAATCAATTTTGTGTACCGGAGAATCGGGTGCAGGCAAAACAGAAAATACCAAAAAAGTAATTCAATATTTGGCTCATGTTGCCGGGGCTACAAGGCTTGGACATCATAATAAATTAGTTAATACCTCAACTTCCAACGGTCTTTTGTGTTCTTCTCCAGCTAGAAGCCATTCTAGTGTTGATCAAATTAATTTGGTCGGAGAATTGGAACAACAACTTTTACAGGCAAATCCAATATTGGAAGCTTTTGGAAATAGCAAAACTGTCAAAAATGATAATTCTTCGAGATTTGTATGTTTTTTTCTTTAAAATATTGGAGATTTTTTTGGGATTATAGTGATGATTTTTAATTTATATTTGCAAAATTATGGATATATGACCCCTAACTATTTTCCTTATCAATACTATCTGTTAAGGTTGGTCTACTCACAATTCCTACTCGAATTTTTAGGATATTCCCGACCTCCTACAGTCCATTTCCTGCCATCTCCGTTCACGGAAAAAATTTTCCTCGATGTCTGTGCCACTCCTCGATGTCTGTGCCACCTCTACTGTCCGTAAACAAAAATTTTTAACCAATTCTTCGTTGTTAACACCTTATTGAAATTTTTAGAGACCTAATTTTTCAGAAAAATCAGATATCGATCGGAACTAGAATTTTGTTTTCAAGATTTTAATTATCAACATTCTTTAATTTAAAATTTTTTTAAAATTTTACAGGGAAAATTTATTCGAATCAATTTCGATTTGGCTGGTTATATTTCTGGTGCTAATATTGAATTTTATTTGTTGGAAAAGTCTCGTACATGTCGTCAAGCAAATGATGAGCGTTCGTTTCATGTATTTTACCAATTTTTGCGTGGAACTTCTGCAGAGGAAAAAGGTTTTGGATTTTTAAAATTATTTTTGGATTACAAATTTGTGTAAATTGAGACCTTCAAAACGGTGTTTTTAAAAATTTTTGCGCTTATTAAAAAATTAAAGAATAATTATTTAAATTTTTTAGCAAGCTTTTTGCTCGAAGACGTAAGTAAATACAAATTTTTGCAAAATGGTTATATTACATTACCAAATGTTGATGACGCTGCAGAATTTCACAATACAATTCGTTCAATGAAAATTATGGGCTTTCATGATGATGAAATTAATTGTATTTTTTAAATTAAAAAAAATTATTAATTTTATTATTTAGCTGTTCTTCGTGTTGTTAGTGCTGTTCTTTTGCTTGGGAATATTGAATTTAAACAGGAGAAGAATAGTGACCAGGCAACTTTGCCGGATGATACAGGTTTATAAAAATAATTTTTTGTTTAAATTTGAATCAGAACGGGTTCAAATTTTACCCTCTATCGCGCTGATAGTGTTCAAGAATTTTTTTTGAATTTTAATTCAAATTTTCATAATTTTAATTTAAAAAATTTTTAGTTGCTCAAAAAATTTGCCATTTGCTTGGCCTTCCAGTCGCTGATTTTACCAAAGCATTCCTTCGTCCTCGCATTAAAGTTGGGCGTGAACATGTACAAAAAGCTCAAAATAAAGAACAAGCTGAATTTGGAGTTGAGGCAATTGGGAAGGCTTGTTATGAGAGAATGTTTAAATGGTTGGTTAGCCGAATCAATAAATCGTTGGATCGAACAAGGCGAACTGGAACATCGTTTATTGGAATTTTGGATATTGCTGGATTTGAAATATTTAAATTGAACAGTTTTGAGCAGCTTTGTATTAAGTAGATATTTTTTATTTTAATATTTGATAGGAAATGAGGAGGGGGAGGGGGGATGGATTGCTGGAAAATTTAGAAATATGTATGTACTAAATTGGTTGATAAACTTTCTGGACGAAATTAAGACATTGTTAGTATGTCCGATATTTTGACTAAATAGGTCACTTTGTTTTGTCAACAATCCGCAAAATTTGTCCGCAATTTTCTATTTTTTTCAGCTATACAAACGAGAAATTACAACAACTTTTCAACAATACAATGTTTGTTTTGGAACAAGAAGAATACCAGCGAGAAGGAATTGATTGGCAATTTATTGATTTTGGGTTAGATTTACAACCTACAATTGAGTTGATTGAAAAGGTTTTTTAAATAAATTTTGCATTTGTAATAAGTTGGGGTACTTTAATATAAGGGAAAGAGGAAATACATAAGAGATAATTTCCCTTAAATAATTTCCCTTATTTCCTTTCCCTTATAGCGAAATAAGGGAAAGAGGGTTAAACCTTTTTAAATCTCACAAAATTAAATCACCTCATACGTGTCAAAAATATAAAAATCTCAAAAAAAATTATTCTCAACTATTCACCTCCTCATTGCAATTGCTAAAAATATTTTTTTATTTTTATAGCCAACAGGAATTCTTGCATTGTTAGATGAACAATGTATTTTCCCTAAAGCTACAGACAAATCTTTTGTTGAAAAATTGTTTACTTATCATGAAAAACATGAAAAGTTTGTTGTTCCAGAAATGCGATCAAAATCAGATTTTGCTGTAATGCATTATGCGGGTAGAGTTGATTATTATTCTGATAAATGGTTAATGAAGAATATGGACCCTTTGAATGAAAATGTTGTACAATTAATGCAAAATAGTACTGATCAATTTTTGGCGGGGATATGGAAAGATGGTAAGATAATTAAAGATAATTAAAAAAATATTTTTTGATTGTTCTAAAAAGGAAACTAATTGTAAGGCATATTAAAATAATATATAATAAGTGAGGGCGCATTCTGTACCTCCCAACTTTACGATTATATTCTTTCTTAAAAGTAAAGGTATTGATGAAAATTTGAAAAATAATCTGAATATTTATCGCTACAGAAAATATAATTTAATTTTTTAAATTAAAGCTGAATTTGCTGGAATGGGAGTAACAGAATTAAATGATACAGTTTTTGGTGTTCGTACAAAAAAGGGAATGTTTCGAACTGTTGGTCATATGCATAAGGAACAATTAAATAAATTAATGACTACATTACGCAATACTTTTCCTCATTTTGTTCGTTGTATTATTCCAAATCATGACAAAAAGGTTGGTTATTTAATTTAACTTAAATTTTTGGGTAAAACGGGATGTGAATTTTTAGTTTTTAGAAAAAGATATGAGCAAGATTAAAGGTTTTTCGTTAATTTTTGGCTTCGAAACTGCTCTGGTGGATGAGTGTGGGGGGAGGGGGGGTAAGACAGGAGCTGTCTAGAGGACCAGAGAGAGAAAATTAATTAACTGTGAAATTTGAATATTATCTTGGATTATGCTATGTAACGAATAAGGTCCGGCTTTAGCTCTTCTTTTCAATGCAGTTATACAAATTTCATCTCTCTGATTCTGAACCGAATTTTCTTAATTCCTTCCAAAAAATCTCTCTTTTATACAAGCCATTTTTGCTTTCCTCTTTCCATAACATCTTCATCGTCCTCGTAATCCTCCTCTATATCATCTTTTCTATCACAAAATTCACATTCTTCTGCACAATAATGAAGCTTTATTGCCAACGAAAATTTTGTTTTTAAGCAAAAATCGTTGTGATTCCAGCGTTTGCATCTTTTGGATAAAATAAACTTTATTTTTAAAAATAATTTTAAATCAAACCTTCGATTATAGTTCTCTTTATTTCTGCATTTATATTTCCATGGAAGACATACTCCACATGCTTCTTGACATCGATCAAGGATCCACTTAAATAATTGAAAATTTATATCTTTTTTTATTCCTTACCGGCTTATTTCTGCAAGCATTTCCTTTTGTCAGGACTTTTTTCAGACAGTAGGTGTCACCACGACGATTTCGACATTCTTTACCTGTTTTGATTAATTTTTTATGATTACTTATATTATTTTGAGACGATTCTTTTCCCAGAACGAGATGCGGAAATTTGTTAGGAACATTTCCAAATCCCTGTTTGTCCGCAAATATTTGTCCGCAAAAAAAATAAACTTTAAAAATACTTCTTGGAATTTTCATTTTATTTTTTCTATTCTTCTCCATAGAAACATCATTATCATCCCAACTTTCTTCTCTCCTCCGATTTTCTTCTATCTTCTTCCTTTCCAATTCACAAAGTCCACAAGTTGATTGGCAATGTTCTGATAATGTTGGGTACCAAACACTCGTCTTTTGACATTTGTTTTGGATATTTTTAATTGTGTAACAACTGAATGAATGTTGTTTAAGTTGATATTTGTCTCGATGATTTTCAGAATGTGCTTTAAGAAATAAATTTTATTTTTGGAGGAATTCCCATAAGGACTGCCCGAAATTTTGAAAGGAATGTTTTTATCAGACGCCGTCCGCAAATACATTTAAAAATTCATAAATTCGAAAATCCACGCAATTCGCATTTGCGATTCTCTTTTTATTCTTTATTTTACCTTTATCCTCACATTGAAACTCTGGAAGTTCACAGCAAGTTCCACACTCTTTTCGACATTTTCTAGCTAGTGGTTGAATCCCTGAATTTTTTTATTAAACTAATTTTATTCAAACTAAGCAAACATTCATTATCACAAGCTTCCGATCTCAACCTTTGTTCTTCCCCTTCTTTTTTACCAAAAATTATTTGGCATAAAGTTTGTTGTTGTTGGGTTTCTTCTTCTCTTTTCCTTTTTCTTCCTTTTTTATTTTGTTTATTATCATGAGTACTTTCTCCAATTAATAATAAATTATTTGTTTGTTCTTCTGGCCAAACAATATCTAATTCATTTGGACAGGCTGTAGCTGATGGTTTTAATATCCATTTTCCTTCTTCCTCGTTATTCTCGTTTTTATATTGATAAGCACAACGATGTTTGTGTGGTTTGGCTTCACGAAGTTTATATTCTATAGCTTTGACTTGAAACAATAATTTTATTAAAAACAAGAGAAATATTTTGTTGAAGTTTAATTTCATTTTTACTTAAAAATTGAATTTTGAAATTCTCTTTTAAAAATTAAAATGACTAGGCTAAATGGCAAATTTTAAGAAATGATTGTCCTTTCTTGCTCATATGCCACACACAAAATCGATAAATAAAATCAGGCATTTTAATGGAAATTCAAATGGGGGTAATAGATAGGGAGAAGAGAGACAGAGCTTTTTCTTTAATTTTGAAATTCTGTTTAGACTTTTAATGGGGGAACTTTTTGTTTTTGTCTTTAAGATTTTCGTAAATTTTTTCAAATTCAAATAAAATTTTTAGCCTCTAAAAATCAATGCCCATCTTGTTTTGGAACAGCTTCGATGTAATGGCGTTCTTGAAGGAATTCGAATTTGTCGTCAAGGCTTTCCAAACCGAATACCATTCCAAGAATTCCGTCATCGTTATGAAATTCTTACACCAAATTTAATTCCAAAAAGTTTTGTTGATGGAAAAGAGGCTTGCAAGTGAGTATTATTTTTTAAATTAAAATTGAGTTAAAATGTAAGGAATATTTTTGCGGATATTTTTTGGGTAAATTTTTTAAAATTTTCTGAAGAATTAACAATTTCTCTTCTCTTGGATTTGTCCCTAACTTTGGAATAATAGAAAGTAAAAAAATTCAAATCTTGCTAGGCGTATCATAGAGGCACTTGAATTGGATAAATATTATTATCGAATTGGTCAATCCAAAGTATTTTTCCGTGCTGGAATGCTTGCACATTTGGAAGAAGAACGTGACCGAAAACTTTGTGGACTTATTATAAGCTTTCAATCTCAATGCCGAGCTTATCTAGCCAGACGTTTATATCAAAAACGTGTTCAACAATCCAATGCTATTCGAATTTTACAACGTAATGGATTGGCTTGGTTAAAATTGCGTGATTGGCAATGGTGGCGTTTATATACAAAAGTGAAGCCGTTGTTGCAGGTTTTTTTTATTTTTTTGATTAATTAAAGTGTATAGGGTTTAAGGGGGAAGTGTCTGTTTTAGATTTTCTTTATTTATTTAATTTTGTGTTTGTAAAAGTCCGCAAACTTACGGACTTCTTTTGAAGCATGAAATGATTTTTGTAATAAACTACAAAATATTTTTGAGAAGTGTGTAGAAAATCTCAAATTTTTTATAGGTTACCAATCAAGAAGAAGCAATTCGTAAACGTGATGAAGAATTAAATGTTCTTAGAGATCGTCTTGCCAATAATGAGAAAGAAATGTTGGAAATTCAACTTTTACTTAATAGAACGGAAGAAGAAAAAATTTCATTACAAGCACAACTTCAGGTTTTTTTTGTTTTTTAAATTAAAAAAAATTTTTTTAAAGGTTGAATCAGATGACCGTGCTGGAGCAGAGGAATTGGCAGATGAATTAAAGCAACGAAATATTAAATTTGAAGATGTTGTGAATGAATTGACTCTTCGTTTAGAGGAAGTTGATGAAGCACAATCAAAAATTTTACAATCAAATAAAAAGTTGGATGTATGTAGAGGAGTTTTTCTTAAATAATTATTTAAAGGGGGAAAATTACTAGAATAATTTTTTATAAAATAATTTTTGTGCCCTCCCTCCGCTTAATTTTTGGGGTCTCTGTGATAGAGATATCACGGCTTGAGAAAAAATGTCGGGTCTGGGTTTTTAAAAATTTTTCTTCGGATCGGGAGGGTTTGGGTAACCTATAAAGAGTCACTAAACCTGTGGGGTCGAAGACCGAGGGAATCAGTTATTTAATAACCGATCGCCAACAATTCTCGGAATTATCTTAAAGAAGAAATTTAAAAAATTTTTTCTAGGAAACTGTCAAAGATTTGGAATCTCAACTTGAAGATGAAGAATCTGCTCGACAAAAATTAATGTTGGACAAAAAGAATTTGGAAAATAAATTGAAGGAATTGCAAGAACGTTTTGCTTTAATGCAAGATGCTAATGAACGTTTACAATTGGAAAAGAAAAGTGTTGACAATAAACTTGTCCAACTTTCTGATCTTTTGCAAGAAGGTGAAGATAAAGCTAAACAAGGAATGAAGTATAGACAAAAGGTTTTTTTAATAAATGGGCTGTTTCGAAAATTTAAAAACAGTTAAAAATGTGAATCTAAAATTTTTTTGAAATTTCGAAACAGTTCTCTGGTTATATTTAATTCTTCGATCCTCTGGTTTATCTCCTACCGTTTGACCCAAACTTTTGTTAGGAGAAAATAAAAGGATCTTTCTTCTCAATAAAATTAAAAATTTCTTTTATGCTTTTTAAAGAATTTTTGCTAAAAAAACTCCGAAAAGATTTCAAGCCTTTGCTTAAGTTTCGAAGTAACTAGCCTGCCCTTAATGTGTGCCCATCATTTCCCTCTTTCTTTTTTCAATTCAACCTATTATTTTTTTAATTATTTTTTATCAGTTGGAAAACCAACTTAGCGAACTCACAGAACGTTATGAATCTGAGCTTCGATTACGTGAATTTGCTGAAAAAGAAAAGAAAAATATTGCCTCAGGAATTGCTCAACAATCATCTATGCTTGATGAAAAACATTCAAAAATTGAATATTTAACTACAGAATTGGGTAAATATGAGGCTGAATTGGTTCAATTACGAAACAAGTATATATATTTTTTGTTAATTTTTCTTAATAAACTGGGCAATACATAATAACAGGCTTTGGGTAAATATATATATTTTTGGGTTTGAAATTTATTTTTTCCTTTAAAATTGTCCTTGTTTTTAAAGTGTAAACTTTGATTTTTTTAAAGATCTGATGATGATTTGGCAACAATTTCTGGACTTCAAAAACATTCTCGAAAATTGGAATTATTGTTGGAAGAGGCTAGAGAAGATTTGGAGCAAGAAAAGAAACAGAAATTGGCTTTGCAATCAAAATTACGACAATTGGAGCAGGAATTGGCTGGTAAATATAAATTAATATATTTGGTTAGGGATTGTTTAAAGATAGATAGAAGGGGTTAAAAAATCAGTAGAGAAAAGGGTTGGTATTTTTGTGACTACCCCCTTTTGCTAATTTTATTTCTTTCCTCCTGTATTTTTTGATCGGCGGAGGATTACTTCACTTTTTGCCAAATTAAAAATTTTTTTTATTTTTTTTAGATGTTCAAGCTTTGCAAGAAGAACAAGAAATTGAAAAACATCAAATTTTGAATGAATTGGATAGTGCTAGGTTACAATTAAAAGATTCTAAAAAACGTGTTGATGAGGATGTTATTCAACAATATGAGGAACAACTTAAACGTTTTACTAAAGATTTGGATAATGTTCAGCAACAGTTGGTGGATGCTGAGGCTGCCCAAAAGAGAATTGAAAATTCTAAAAAGAAATTGCAACAAGAGGTGAGGACGGGGAGGAATATATTTTTTTATATTTTAAAGTTAGACCTCTTTTTTTAAATAACCCCTTGAATTATTAAAAAATGAGGTTATTTTAAATAAGAGGAATGACTTAGGTAGAACATTCTTTTTCCGTTAACTTTGTTTAATAAAAATGATTTCTTTTCTAGTTCGAAGATCTTCAAAATGAATTGGATCAATCAAATATGGAGAAAGCTGCATTGCTACGGAAGATGAAAATGATTGAGAGGATTATTACAAAATGACCGTGCTTTTTTTTATAAAAAAAATAATATTTTTAGGTAAAATTTTGGTTTACATTTCCAACTCTTTTTTCCCTTTTCTCCCCTAAAATTCCTTTTTGCCTTTAAAATCATTCCAATTCTAAAATATTTATTTAATCCCTTTTTTGGAGAAAAGGGTTGGAAACAAAACCAATCTTTTAACTATTCTTTAATTAAAAAATAATATATAAAAAATCAAGACATTTAAATTTATTCTTCTTTTTTGTTTTCGTTTATTATTATATTTAATGAATTTTTCCTTATCTTTTTGTTTGAAAGTCGATATAATAAAGAAAATTAAAATCCCTCAAGGTTTAAATTACCTTTTGTCTCAAAGCCTTTTTTTAAATAAAAAATTTTTTAATCAAAAATTAAAAGTTTTAACAACAAAAATTATTTAAAGGCTATTTTTTAAATAAATATCTCTATCTTTAAACTGTCATAATATCCTTCTTTAATATCTCCATAATTTTCTTTAAATAACTAGAAAGATATGAAGGCAATGGACGATCCAAGTGTGGTAATTTTGTGTTGTTGTCATTCGTCCAATAAATATCGTTATAGGCAATTTTGCGTTGAAGTATCTTTGAAAGAGGAAATTGTTTTAGAAAAATTTTTTAGAAAAAATAGTTATGCAGTCATGCTTTTTAGTCATAGGAAAATCCAAAACCCACGACAGATACCGAACCCATGTATCTCAGGTTCGATATCAATCGTGGTTTTGACTTTTCTTACGTCTGGAAAACACTCGTGTGTGAAAAACACATTTTCCAAATTCCAATTCTTTTTCACAAAATAAAAGTTTAAATAACCTTAATTCCTTCATTGCCAACAGTTCTTTCAACAGCCACTTCCAAATCATTAATTCCACCATTATATAATTTACCAAAAACAAGTTTAATCTAAAAATTAAAAACTAATTGTTATTTAAAAAAATTAAAAAACCTTTTCTTGTTTTTCTTTTAAATTTTCAACAATTTTTCCAAATACTTGAACAAATTTAACCAAATAAAGTGTTTTTATTTTATTAGTTTGTGGAATTGCTTCTTGCTGTTGATTATTATCTTCAATTTCCTGTTAAAATTTTTTTGAAATAAAAATAAATTTAAAAATTTGGAAAAATATTCTAATTTAATTAAAAAAGGAAAACTCAGGAAAAAAATTTTTTCGAGTTACCTCAAAGGAATCAAACCAATACTTTCACACTAGAAACACAAAACCTAACCCACTACGCCATGACGCATTATTAAATTATTAAAATTACAGAAGAGAAAATCTCAAAAAACTAAAAAAATTCTTTTTAAAAATTTTTTCTTCATTTCAAAGAGGGGAGGAGTTTTAAATTTTATAAAATTAAAAAAACCTTTTTAATTTTTTTCTTCTTCGGAGGTTTAACCTCTTCAACATCATCACAATTATTATTTTTATTATTTGTACCAAAAAATTCAACAAATTTTTCCACAAGAGAAGGCAAAACATTTGGATGAGATTTCTAATAAAATTAAAAAAAATTTTTTAATTTAAAAAACCAAATTATTTCCATTAATTAAATAAGTCAATAAATGTAGAGAAGTTAACTTAAATAAATTTTTTAATTAAAAAAATAATTTTTTCCTTTCCTTACTCGTTTAGTAAAAGAAAATTCATTGTTGATAGCATCATTGGATAAAGGCAAAAACCAATCATTAAAATATTGCTAAAATTAGGGAAATTAAAATGTTTATTTAAGTATAACCGCTCAGGTCCCCATTTTTTATGCAAAAAATTTTTAAAATTCTTGACTGATTTAAATATATTAAACAAAAACTTTTTAGATTTTTAAATAAAAAATTGTTTAAATAAATATGAGAAAATCAAAATTCAGCCCCCAATTAGCCTGTAATTTTATAAAAATCAGTCAAGAACCTCTCCCCTCCTTAAATTAAAAAAATACCCTAAAATTATTAAATATTTGGAGTAACAACTTCCGAACAAATTCTTTATCGTTATAATGATTCTGTTCATCTGAAATATTGTCGTCACAAAATGTCCATAAATCGGTAATAAATTGATAAACTTCTGGAGAAAATTGTTTGGCTGAGTAGTCAGAAGAAAGACAAATCTTTAACAAAAATTTTCTTTTAATTTTAACATTTACAAAAAAAAATTTCAAATGAAAATAAAATTTAAAAAATCATGGAAAATTAAAAAAAATCATTTAAAAATTTAGTCTTTTTTTGATTTCCTATTTTTAAGTAAGACAAAAAAAGAAATTACAATAGAAAAGGGAAGGGAGATGGATAAATAACTATAAAACACCCAAAATTTAGAAAAATCAAATCTTAATTTTAAATAATCCCAAGACTAAATACCCAAATTTAAGTTTCACTCTTAAAAAATAAATGGCTAAGGGGGAAGGAAACTATTCGGGATTTAGACGATTCGATTCCTGAAAATCGGCAGTTTATTTATAGTAAATATGTAAGCTAGATCTCTAATACCCCTTAAAGAATTTTTTCAGGTAAATAAGACTATCAGTCTTTTAATAAAACTTATTTTTAATAAAAAAAACAAACCAATACTCGAATAGCACCAAAAACCAACTTATGATTATGTCTAGAATATAATCTAACATCATTATCACCCTTTTGGAATGGGGCAATTAAAGCACGTAAAAATATAGCCAATTGTTTTTTGTCATAATTACATTCCTTTTGTTGAAAAATTAGAAAAAGAAAGTTTAATTAAAGAAAACCTTTTTCCGTCTAATTAAAGGTTTTTCAATTTTTGCCATAGAATCAACGATTTCTTGACTAGTATCTTTACGTTCACAAAGCATTGCAATTGTAGACAGCCAAGCAGGCTAGAAAATTTTTAAAAAAATTTGAAAAAATAAAATAAGAAATTTAAGGCGTAAAAAAGTTCAAAAAAAAACAAAAAGTTAGAAATTCAGAAAAAGTCATAAATCTTTCATTTTTCCCCTTCAAATTTTAATTAAAAAACAAACCAAAGCCAATTCAAGTTTCGCCACAGTAAAACAAATTGTCAACATATCAACCAATCTTCTTCTAAATTCCTTCAATTTCTTTAAATCTTGTTTTGATGAAGAACGTTTTCTAAATGTTTCAATTAATTCATCATCCAAAGCAAATAATCTTTCGTCATCCAAATTCTTAAGAAAAAAATTATTTCAAAAAAATTATAAAAAGATGACTCTCGAAATTACTAACTCTTACTGACATTGGACCAGCGACTAAAGTTTACAAAAATTTGGAATGCCTACCCAATCATCACTTCCATCGGACAAATCATCCTCTCCAAAACAAGCATCACCCAAAGCTTTTCGAATTTCTTCAACTTGTTCAGGATTAAGTTTATCATTGTCGTCAACCTTCTCTTTTTTAATTTTCCCCTTTTTGTTCTCCTTGCTTTCACTCTTTTTTGAAATTCCATTTTCATCAACTTCAACAATTTCTTTTTTGATTTCTAAAAAAATTTATGAAAAATTCTTACAAAAATTAAAAAAAAAACCTTTACGACTTTGTTTTTCATTTTCGTCATCTTCTCCCTCAATTCCCTCCTCATCTTCATCGCTACTCTCTTCATCCATTTCAAAATCAGTCTCCTCATCTCCCTCCGCACTATTTTCATCAGCTGAATTATTAGCCTCATCATTACATAGAGCCTAAAGATTTTAAAAGATAAAAAATGTTTGAAGAACACGAAAAAATTTTTAATTTAAGAGAGGTGAAAGTTTAGTCCCAGGAGGCAACTATCCTGCAATCTTTAACTGCTCTTTTAATAGACCTTCAACACGTGTCAAATAAGATACCCCTACTTTTTTGTAAAGTTAAAACAAAAGTAAAATTTGAAATTAAAAGCTACGAAAAGGAATCAAAAACAAGTTCAAATGATTTAGAAAATGTTTGAATTTAAATATTTCATCAAAAATTGTCGAAAATAAAAATATGTACAACATTCCGAAAAAATTCACTTAGGCCTCTCCCCTGACAATCCCCCTAATAAAATTCTAAAAAAAATTTTAAATTAGAAAACCTCCATAATTTGTTGTATATTATTTCCATTTAAACGCATAACAAAAACAAACATAGCCAAATCAGGCAAAACTTTATATTTTGCATTAAAAGACATTTGCCAAGAAATTAATAAATCAACTAAAGCTGAACAATTGAAAGTTTCTGGATGTTCTTTTAAATCCTTTATTTAATAAAAATTATTTTTGAAGTTTTTTGAAGGAAAAAACCTCAGCCATTAAACAAAGCTCTTCAACTTCAGACATACATTCATCTTTTGAACGTTTATTTATACTAACATAACCAAAAATACAGACAGAAGCACTTAATGCCCAAAGAACTCTGAGAAATTAAAAAAATTTAAAATCGTAAAAAGGGTTAGAAGCAGGAAACGTGCATACAAAAGCGTATCCAGGGGCTAAAAAAGAAAGCTTAAACATTTTAAAACCAATACTTAAATTTTTTAACTAGTTAGTCCCCACAACTCGAAACCTCCCCATGGATAAGTCCTTGCGTGCCGACATAAAAGATATATTAAATTCCGAAAAATGGGGATACCTAATCCAAAAAACGTCTGGTATTTCCGATTTTCAAGAATCGGGACGGCACATTTCCTGGTCAGAGTCCGAAAATTTTTTTAAATAAACCTGAGTTGTAACTGTAAATTCTTTCTTTCCTTATCATTTTCTTCTATTTTATTAAAATTAAAAACAGAAGCTTTTGTAAAAAGTTTGGGTTCCAGAAGAGCTGCTTGTTTAACAATCTCATTTAATATCACGTTATCGTATCTTCTGAAATTAAATTTAAAAAATTATAAAGTGACAACATGTTCCCAAGGCAGGGCCATAACCAGGGAAATTTTCGGGAAAGGGGAGGGGGTCAATCGTTTTCGGCCGAAGGCGCCAAAAATTCCTTTTTCCATTTCGAGGGCTGGTGGAATCAACTCGCCTGCTTCTTGGATACGGGCCT